CAGAACCTTCAGGTCAAAATACGCCGCGAAGTGTCTAGGGCCCAGTATAAAGGGTGAATAAGTTCGCGGGACATCGGAGGGTCCTTATATACCTGCGGTACCCTCTCCCCAAAGTCATTAGCAAAATCGTCCGTTAGGTCAGGCGGGAAATTTTCGCGGGAGATTTTCGCGGGAGATTTCCGATATCGTAACACGGTATAATTTATCAATTTTCACAATTTTGTTATAAATTTATACTTCCGACAATTTGTTATAACATTGCATATAACAATTTATACGTTTTTACAATATTCTTCAATGGAAACATAGGTTTTAGCGTTCTCGTTACTTACTCGTGGTTAAATTAATTTCGTAGGGATTAAAAATCAGGTTGACCTGTGGTCGTAGATTAAAAATAGTGATAGTACAGCTAAAATTATCGTGTTAAATAATTCTTTTCCTACGAATCAAAAATGTATTCAACGTTTGTTTGTTATAATATCGTGAAATGAATTATATTACACATTTTCTCTATTCACACTGAATTTAAAGATTATAACGATTAAAAATCAAGTTGACCTGTGGTCATTTATCAAGAATAATCATAATAAAGCTGAAATTATTGTGTTAAATAATTTTTTTAATACGAATTAGGAATTTATTCAACGTTTGCTTGTTACTACTTGTTACAGTATACTGTCTCGCAATGTAAATTTAAGTAAATTAGGTTGAACTGCACAGAAAATGCACAGAACTGCACAAATAATTTATTTCATGGTATTGTAACAAGCAAACGTTGAATACATTTTTCATTCGTGTAAGAAGAATTATTTAACACGATAAATTTAGCTGTACTATGGTTATTTTTAATCTACGACCACAGGTCAACCTGATTTTTAATCCCTACGAAATTAATTTAACCACGAGTAAGTAACGAGAACGCTAAAACCTATGTTTCCATTGAAGAATATTGTAAAAACGTATAAATTGTTATATGCAATGTTATAACAAATTGTCGGAAGTATAAATTTTTAATAAAATTGTGAAAATTGATAAATTATACCGTGTTACGATATCGGAAATCTCCCGCGAAAATCTCCCGCGAAAATTTCCCGCCTGACCTAACCGACGATTTTGCTAATGACTTTGGGGAGAGGGTACCGCAGGTATATAAGGACCCGCCGATGTCCCGCGAAATCATTTACCCTTTATACTGGGCCCTAGACACTTCGCGGCGTATTTTGACCTGAAGGTTCTGAGATGTGAATAGAGTGGTCGGGGGCTACTAGCTAGTCTATGTCCACCCTGTACACACTCAGCCTTCTTGTAACACTTGTATACATTAGAATCAATTAGAATTTCTATTACTAATTATTAAACAAATTTTAACAATTACCGGCACTCGCTAGGCACGTAATATCAGACTTTAAATACTCGACTTCGAACTTCGGTTTAGTCATAATTCTATTAATGTTATAATAACGTATAATTTATTAATTTTCACAATTTTATTATTAATTTATACTTCCAAAAATTTGTTAAAACATTACATATTATTATTTATACATTTTTGCAAGTTTCTTTGACAAATAAGTACGTTTCAACGATCTTATTACTTTCTCGTTGTGAAATCAAGTTCGGAGGATTAAAAATCAGGTTGACCCTTGGTCGTAAATTTAAAATAGCCATAGTGAAGGTGAAATTATTATTTTAAATAAATGTTTCTATACGAATTAAGAATCTATTCAACGTTTGTTTGTTGCAATACCGTGAAATAAATTGTATTATATATTTTCTCAGTTTAGACTGAATTTAAAGTTCGTAAGGATTAGAAATCAGGTTGACCTGTGGTCGTAGATTAAAAATAGCCATAGTGAAGGTAAAATTATTACGTTAAATAATTGTTTTTATACGAATTAAATATTGATTCAACGTTTATTTGTTGCAATACCGTGAAATAAATTGTATTATATATTTTTTCTGTTTACACTAAATTTAAAGTTCTGTTTACATGTTATAACAATTAGAATGTTGACGTTTTGCCGTTTCACGGTTTTTCCTCTGTTAATTATGTGTTTATAAATCATTTCAAACTAAAGCAGCACCATGCCCACCCTTAATTAAA